TGTTATAGAGATTTTCGTAAAGTGGATTAAAAACACAGTCATATGCTGGATTCGAGTTATTAGAATATAATTTAGAGATATATTGTAAAGACAATTTTATGCGACGGTGTTTTAGGGATGGCTCATCAGCCTCCACATACAGACTATATATTGGTGAAGTCCTGAAGGCACCAAGGCAAAGCCTCAGACCTTGATGATGAATTGTATCCAATAATTTTAAATTACTTTTACAGGCTCCACCATAAATGATGGAGCCATAATCCAGTTTAGATCGGATAAGGGCTCTGTAAAGTTGGAGGAGGGTTTTCTGATCCCTTCCCCACTTGGAATTTGAAACAACTTTCAGCAAGTCAAGTGCTTTCAGACATTTATTTTTCAAATACTTTATATGCGGTAAGAAGGTCAAATGGTGATCGAAAATGATGCCCAAAAACTTGGCCTCCTTTACAACTTTAATAGGATTGCCAGCTAAAACTAGTTCAGGGTCTTTGTGAGGTTTGTATTTTCTGCAAAAGTGAATGCAGTTTGTTTTAGATTTTGAAAATTTAAAACCATTTTCTAATGCCCATTTATGAATTTTATTTAGACATAATTGCAGTTGCCTTTCGACAGTATTCATATTTTTACCACAGCATGAAATATTAAAATCATCAACAAACAGTGATCCATCAATGGAATCGCTTAACACCTTTGAAAGGCTATTAATTTTAATACTAAATAAAGTGACAGACAAAATACTGCCTTGTGGGACACCCTGATCCTGATGATAATGGTCAGACAGGGTAGAACCCACGCGGACTTGAAATTGCCTGTCGGTTAAAAACTCAGATATGAATTGTGGCAAACGGCCACGTAATCCAAAATCGTGTAAATCTTTTAAAATACCATGTTTCCATGCAGTGTCGTATGCTTTTTCGAGATCGAAAAAGATAGACACTGCATGTTGTTTATTTATTATTGCATTTTTAACAAATGATTCTAATCGAACCAAATGATCGATGGTACTTCTGTTTTTCCGGAAACCACATTGTATGTTAGTAATGAGATTGTTGGTTTCTAAGTACCAAACTAATCGATTATTAATCATGCGTTCCATGGTTTTGCAGACGCAGCTTGTTAGTGATATCGGTCGATAATTTGAAGGGTCTGTATGATCTCGCCCAGGTTTGGGTATTGGAATAACTACAGCATCGCGCCATGAAGGAGGAAATGTCCCAGACGTCCAAATGTGATCAAAAATAGTCAATAATGTTACTAAAGATGATTCTGGTAAGTGTTTCAGGAGTTGATAATGAATGTTATCAGCTCCGGCAGCCGTATCATGGGCTTGTTCAAGTGCCGTATGGAGTTCATTAATAGAGAAAAGTTCATTATAATCTTCCCCGTTATCTGAATTGAAATTAATAGTTTTCATTTCTTGCTGTTTTTGATATTTTTGGAATGTAGGATCATAGTTAGTTGAGGAAGAATGTTTAGCCAAAGTTTCACCAAGTTTGTTTGCAATATCAGATTTATCAGTGAGTAGTACATCCCCATTTTGGAGATGGCGGATGCTGGATTTGGAACCCTTACCTTTAATTTTCTGAATCATGTTCCAAACTTTAGACATTGGAGTACGTGAATTGATTTTTGAAACATAAGTTTGCCACGATTGGCGTTTATTTTGCTTAAAAGTACGTCGTGCTTTAGCATTTAACATTTTAAATTTATTCAAATTACGGACCATTGGATGGTGACGGAAATAATGTTCAGCCTTTTTCCGTGCCTTCCTAGCTTGCTTGCAGTCATTGTTAAACCATGGTTTACGGATGTGTGGATTTGCAGAGGACTTCGGAATACATTCATCAGCAATTTTGAGAAGCTCATCAGAGAAGAGTTGAATAGGATCAGGAGCGTTGATAAACAAATTAGGCGTTAATTTGTTGGAGGACAGTAATTCAAACAAAGGCCAGTTTGCTTTAGTAAAGTTCCATCGTGATGATGGCTGAATATCAGAAGGGTTAACCGTTTTCAGAATGGTTGGAAAGTGGTCACTTCCACAGAGGTCATCATGGACTGACCACTCAAATTCATTCAACAGATCAGAGTCTGTAATCGACAAATCGAGGGAAGAGTATGTACCTGTACCAGGATGTAAATATGTCCTGGAGTCATCATTATAAAGACATAAAGCATTGTTGGAAATAAAATCTTCTATACTCTTCCCTTTACTGCTGGTATGATCACTACCCCATAATGGATTATGTCCATTCAAATCACCCATTATGATACAAGGTTTAGGCAGTTGGTCATATAGTGCTTGGAGATCAGTTTGCTGAATAGACGAAGATGGAGGGATATATAGAGAACACAAAGTAAAAACAATGTGTAAAGTTATTCGGACAGCAATGGCTTGGAGAGGAGTATCAAGAGGAACAGTACTGTGGATGATACCCTGCCTCACCAACACTGAAGAACCTCCAGTGGCCTTAGCCCCTGGGGGGGGAAAGAAATGATAAGAACTATACTGTCTGATGTCGGTGTGATCGGTGTTTTTCAAGTAGGTTTCTTGAAGACAAAGAGCTGATGGTTTAAAATCTTGTAGTAAAAGATGTAGATCATTATAATTATGTCGAAGTCCTCTGCAATTCCATTGAATGATGTGACTTGAGCAGCTCATGGCGGCTCAACTGGGGATCTTGAGCGGGAGGTACGTCCACTCTCATGGACTGGTTGTGTGGGAGTGACGTCCATCTCCAGAGGCTCAAACGGATTATGAACCTCTACAGTGGTTGTCACAGGAGAAGGCACCTCCAAGTGTTGGAGTGTTTTGGCCTTTCTCCTCATTTGCTTTTTCGCTTTATTTGATAAATGGGCATTGCCCTGACGTGTTTCAGCTACAGCTACATTTGGTTCAGTAGGTGGGGTGTGAATGGTCTCAGTTTGGGTGGCAGATGATGATATCTGTGGGAGTTCCTTAGATATATGAATGGAGTCCTCAAGTGTAATGATATCATCTTTTAACCAGGAGATAGAAGTCTGGCAGTGTGTGGATACCGTAGTTACCTTGGGAAGTTGCACTGGGGAAGAGACAGCAGCTGAATAACTTTTAGTAGAAGGTGTTTGAGATGGAAGTAGTAACGTTTTAGCTTCAGTGTAGGATATGTTGTTAGTATGTTTGATTCTTAAAATTTTTGTTTCCCGATCAAAAGCAGGACAGGATTTTGATGAGGATAGGTGCTCCCCGTTGCAGTTGGCACACCTGATCTCATTTGTGCATTCTGAACTCTCGTGAGTTTCACTGCAACGGAAACACCTGGCCTTGTTAGTGCAAGTTTTGGCCCCGTGACCGAATTTTTGACACTTGTAACATCGGAGTGGATTTGGAACATAAACCTCCACTCCGATGTTAAAGTAACCAGCTTTTATGAACTTTGGAAGAGTTGTCACAGAAAAAGTAAAAAGGTAGGTTTGGGTATTGACAATGGTTCCATCTTGAGTTTTTCTCGTAAACCGCTTAACTGCGGTGACACCTTGATTTTTAAGTTCGTCTGCTATCTCTCCTTCTGTCATGTCTGACAGACAGCGAGCTCGATCACGAACGATGCCCCTACTTGAGTTCAGCGTCTTGTACGCTGAGACAACAACCTGTGTGTTTACAAACTGCTGAAGATCAAGCAGATTGACAGATTGTTGTCTCCGTGCACATTCTACTAGGATGGATCCACCACGGAGACGTGTTACATTTTTAACCTCACCACAGGCACTTTGTATGCCCTTTGAGATCGCAAACGGGTTGAGTTTTAAAGGACTTTCATCAACAGTTGAAATCACTAAGAATCTTGGCCAAGATTCAGGAAATATTTGAGATAATTCTTCATCAGATGATGAAGAAAGGTGCCTTCTTTTGTTTGCTTTAGATGAACCAGTAGATGTATTGGTAGCCATGGTATAATAAGAATATTCAGCACCCCTGCTCCCTACCCGCCATCGAGTGTCAACGAGGACGATGTTGCAGTGGAAGCCAGCCTGCAACATCAGGGTTACAGGGATGTTATACTCCAGAAAAAGAGACATGGATAGCTGTTGTTAATAAAAGGAGAAATGTCAGGCTGGTTCGGCCCATGGCATTTTCCTATAAAAACACAGAATTCAGAGGTCTATATCACCAGATTGGCCCATGAGCCACCGCCTTCTGGCATAGGACTCTAGGCAAAATTTTAAATGTACATAATCAAGGTCAACAGATATCCTGTTCAAAAATGGTCTGAGATGACATTTGTAAATAATCAAGCATTCCATGCACAGGGCATGGCGTGACCAGCCGATTGATAGAATCGGGCCCATTCTACCACCCGTCTAGGTGAAGTAAGGGTCAAAGTGGTGTGTTGGGCAAAAGGAACACTTGTTCCTGGCTCCAATGCCCTCAACCACCAGAATCCCGTCCTCCACCGACACAGGGGCGCAACCCACGGCAAACAGGTTGCCCACTTTGGTCGCCTCTTACGACCAGCAATGGGGTGCTGTGGAAATATTCTACCCCGGTTCCACACGGGGGAAGAGCTATTAGCGTTACCCAGCACTCACCACGAGGAGGTTGCTCTTCACGAGTGCCAAGTCACCAAATATAAAGATACTATTGTGGCAATCTACTGATAATTTACCCCAATCAGCCCAAATCCCATTGTTTATATTACTGGCTTCATCCTTTATTTATGTTACTGACTTCACTGATGATTGTCATCACTACCCTTGTATATACATAACAGGCTTCTCTACTCCAGTATAACAATATCTATCTGTATATCACTTGCTTGATAACGATGTTAGAACCTACACCGAAACGTCGCTCTTAATTGTAATAAAGAAGTTGTTTATCCATAAATTCTTTTCCTTACTTAGTACTCCAACTTCTTAATGCCTATCAATGAAGAAATCAGTAAGTGACAGATCTGACCCCTCTGATAGAAGAAAATTATATACATCAACATGTTGTTTCACTGCTGCCAACATAACTGGTGTCAAGTTAAACGTTCCTTTTTTATTGATGTCAAATGTTTTCAAGGATAAGAGCTTTTTCACAATACGCATGCTACCTCCTTCATATGCCAACATCAAACAATCATCGTTGTTATCATCATTAAGGGACAGATCAGCACCCTCTGATATAAGAAGATTGAAAACATCAATCTGTCCTCTCTTTGCTGCCAACATTACTGGTGTCTGGTTAAACTATCCTCTCCTATTGATGTCAAATGTTTTACAGGATAAGAGGAGTTTCACAATAGACATTCTATCTCCCTCACATGCCCACATCAGACAATGTTTGTTCATCAAATCAGTTAGTGACAGATCGGCATCCTCTGATACAAGAAGATTATAAACATCAACATGTCCTCTGTGCTGCCAACATAACTGGCATCTTATTGAACCATTGTCTCGCATTGATGTCAAATGATTTCAAGGACAAGAGATGTTTCACAATAGGCATGCTACCTCCCATACAAGCCAGCATCAGACAATCATGTTTGTAATCATCAGTGAGCGGATCAGTAAGGGACAACTTCCGGAAGAACTTGACTTGTACCATCTGTTCTCGTGTTGACTTGTGTTGTCATGTGTTTGTGACAGGTTCCACCCTTGGAGCAGATTACACTCGCCTTTTCGAGAACACCTGGTATCATCACTATTTGAGAGTGATTCATCAACAAAAGCTCTTGATATAGTCGGAATCGTGCAATCGACTCAGCTTTTAGCTATTGAATATGGAAAGGGTTTTGGTGCTTTTATTGTCATTATCTTCTAAGACAATCATCTTGAGACCGTATTTGTCTGGATAGTTATCCCCGCATGGTTTTCCTTGTCTCAAATGAGGCTAAACAAAGCTGGGCAGTGAGACAGTTAGGATGACTCAATCATTACCGTAGATTTTTAAGAGAAGAGCCAATCTCGTGGAGCTCCTGTGTGTGCACAAGAGAACAGTGGGCAGGCGCAGAACAAACTAGTTATCAATATGTTCTATCCATAATGATTCTTAATGTGAGACTGTATGTAACGGGCCTCTGTAGCATATATGTATTGAAGATGGCAGCTTGCTAATTACACAGTAATTACTATAGACAATACTTTTTCTTCTCTACAGTTATACAGAGTTGCCAAATGGGGACAAGTGATGCAGAAAGTCACGGATCGGCCCCCTCTGATTCAAGAAGATTATACACATCAACATGTCCTTCCGATGCTGCCAACATAACTGGTGTCCGGTTTAACCATGTATTCATTTTCTTCGGAGATGTAGCGTCATTTACTTAACTTGGAAAGACAACGTCCACTTTAATACATCAGTTTAGTTATACAGAGTAGTCATGGGGGATATGTATTGCAGTAAGTGTCAGATCTGCACCCTCTGATACAAGAAGATCACGAACATCAACATGTCCCATCTCTGCTGCAAATATAACCGGTGTCTTTCTTAACCATCCCCTCCTGTTGATGTCAAATGTTTTCAAGGACAACAGGTGTTTCACAATAAGCATGTTCCCTCTCTTACATGCCAACATCAGACAATCATTGTTGTTATCATCAGTAAGTGACAGATCAGCCCCCTCTGATACAAGAAGATTGCTTACATCAACATGTCCTTTCGCTGCTGCCAACATAACTGGTGTCTGGTTAGACCTTCCTCTCCTATTGATGTCAAATGTTTTCAAGGATAATAGGTATTTCACAAGAGGCATGTTACCGCCCTCACAAGCCAACATCAGACAATCATTGTTGTACTCATCAGTAAGTGACAGATCAGCCCCCTCTGATACAAGAAGGTTGCTTACGTCAACATGTCCCCTCTCTGCTGCCAACATAACTGGTGTCTGGTTAGACCTTCCTCTCCTGTTGATGTCAAACGTTTTCAAGGACAAGAGGTGTTTCACAATAGGCATGCTACCCCCCTCACAAGCCAACATCAGACAATCTTTGCCCAGCGCATCAGTAAGTTGCAGATTAGCCCCCTCTGATACAAGAAGATTATATACATCTAAATGTCCACTGTATGCTGCCGACATAACTGGTGTCTGATTGAACCAGCCTGTCCTATTGATGTCAAATGTTTTCAAGGACAAGAGGTGTTTCACAATAGGTAGGCTACCTCTCTCACAAGCCAACTTCAGACAATCATTTTTCTCCTTATCAGTAAGTGACAGATCAGCCCCCTCTGATACAAGAAGATTATATAAATCTAAATGTCCTCTCATTGCTGCCAACATAACTGGTGTCTTGGTAAATTTTCCTTTCCTATTGATGTCAAATGTTTTCAAGGACAAAAGGTGTTTCACAATAGGCATGCTACCTCCCTCACATGCCAACATCAAACAATCTTTGTTCATAAAATCAGCACCCTCTGATACAAGAAGATTATAAACATCTACATGTCCTCTCTGAGCTGCCAACATAACTGGTGTCTTGTTGCACCATTGTCTTGCATTGATGTCAAATGTTTTCAAGGACAAGAGGTGTTTCACTATAGGCATGCTACCTCCCATACAAGCCAACATCAGACAATCATGTTTGTAATCATCAGTGAGCGACAGATCAGCCGCCTCTGACACAAGAAGATTATAAACATCTGAGTGTCCTCTCTCTGCTGCCAACAAAACTGGTGTCTTGTTTAACCCTTCTCTCTTATTGATGTCAAACAGTTTCAAGGGCAAGAGGTGTTTCACAATAGGCATGCTGCCTCCCATGCATGCCAACATCAGACAATCATTGTTGTTACCATCAGTATGTGACAGATCAGCACCCTCTGATACAAGCAGGTTATAGACATCAGAATGTCCATTTAGTGCTGCAATCATCGCCGGTGTCTGCCCGAGCCATCCTTTAGTATTGATATCAGTTGTTTTCAGAGAAATCAAATATTTCACTGTAGATGGGGGTCCACTTTCACAAACCAAATGAAGACAGTTTCTACCTTTGTTGTCGGTGAGACTGAGATTTCCTCCTTGCCGCACAAGTTCTTTCAGAACTTCATTCTGACCTGACAAACAACACAACATGGCAGCTGTCAGGCCTTTCTCGGCAAATACATTCATCAAATCAGGACAAAGCTTAACAATAGCTATACTGACATCTTTGCTCCCCGATTTACAAGCGTGGTGAAGACAAGTATATCCTTTCTTGTCAGTAAGTAAAACGTCTGCTTTCAAGTTTAACAATACGTTGAACACATCCAAATGACCTGACTCTGCAGCAAACATCAGCAGGGTTCTATCTCCCTTTCTCCAGTTGACATCGAACATATGACCTTCCTGAAGCATATCTATAATATCTTCAAGGTGTCTGAGCTTATGCCATAGCACACAGGCAAATAAACCATCATAGAGGTAGTTTCTATTCTCCACTGAAAGAACTTGGATGTTTTCCCTTCTACCAAGTATTTCCAATGACTGGGTAAAAAGTATATCATTATCTGACAGTATCACATAATAAAAGAAACATTCTCCAGAATCATTGTCTTTCTTTGTAAAAATGTGTTGCAAGTGATCAGCCAGTTCTTGTTGAAGTAAGGAGGCAAATCGGGCGTCCCTCAAAAGAGGATGGGTGAGTGTCCATCTGAAACATCCTTGTTGTATGCCTTCCACCAGCCTGGTCAGTACTATTGGGAATAGTCGAGACGTGATGTAGATCATATTTGTGACATCATAGGTGATTGTTGGCAGTTGTTGGTCGTGCTTACCCTGTCTTACTCTTTCATACAAAAACTTCATAGAGCAATGCTTTAACAACAACACAGGATTGATATTACCAAGGGCACATGCTGCCGCATCATAGATGGATGGATGTGAGAAGGAAGCTACATTATTCTCCACTCTACAGTAGGAGCCAATGAAATTTCTGATTTCGTTACCAATGTCCGTTGGAGTACACAATGGCACCACCTCCTTTACAGCACGAAACAGGGCGGTGTGGGCTCCTCCAATTCCTAGTTGAAAGGAAACAAGGTCCAGTTTCCCACCACACAGGATGAGAAGAATAAGAGCAAATGATCTGCTACTCTGTTCTCTGACAATGTTGTCAAGGTCGCCTCTCAAGTAGGTCACAGGGTGCTGGAAAAAGTCTCGAGTCTTCATGTGGAAGACTGTGTTATCGACGTACAGTCTACAGGTCAATGGGAATCCAAACATGCTGTTTTGTATCTGTGTAATAGCTTTCATATCCTCCTGAGAAATGTCGAAATGTGAATTTCCCCTCATGAAGGATGTGAGAATGGATTCCTTTTCTTTTTCTGAAAGGCCTTTTTTTGTCAAATCAACGACAACTTGTGAACTGAAGAGGGTGCCTTTGAACTGATGCAGTCTTGAACATCCCTCATTCCAGTTGTTGGTTCGTGATGTGAAAAGAAAGTGAAGCTTGAATGTCTGTCCTGAAGTAGCTTTATCTGGTTGTGACACACTCAAGACACACACAGATTCAACCAGGGCGCTGAACACTTTGTGGATAGCTTCTAAACTTGACGGTAATGTAACAGAACCAAACAAAGACAACAAGCATATCATTGTTCCTTTTGATGATCAGGTTAACATCAAAGTGGTCAACGTTTTCTACGAACAATACGCTATGACTTTTCTCTAGATATGTATCACAAAGCATTAAAGCGATGCTGGTTTTCCCATCCCCTGGAGCTCCGTTGATGGCAATATGTCTGTTCTTTTTCAGCAACTCCTCTGCTACTTCTAGAGCATGGACGTGAATAAATTCCTTTTTCAGATTGTCTATCCTTGTTGTGAGGTTTTCTGAAAAGAAAGTTGCGGATTTAATTAAACTTCCCTTTTTTCTCACAATTTTGTATCATGCTGTCTGTAATTCTATTCTACTTATGAGGAATCAAATGAAGAAATAAAGAAGAACGTGTCTTGCTCGTGGGTTTCACAAAAGCTGTAAACTTCTAAGATTTACATCTCTATGGGCGTGTGTCCTAAATAAAGCTGACGTGTGGTATAACTTATTTAAATGTTTAAAGCAGTGTATATTTACTACTCTCTCTCACTTACTAACGGGAGTAGACAGGTCTTAAATGAACATATATCTTTATATTCTATACATTTCATGCATACGTATTGTTTTGCATCCTTTTTGTGTACATTTGAAAGAGACTTGTGAATGAAAAACTCTTTGTTCTGATTGTTCTGAGATCTTTTTGTAAAATCATTCTGAGGAGTCATCACAGTGCTACTGTTTGCCTTACGATAAGTGAAAATTCATGTATCAAACCATACATATTCTGTGAAGAAAGAGTATTAAAATCCATCTCATCAAGAAAAGAAAAGCGACTTGCTGTACTGATATCAAACACCAGGAAGCCTGCGATAGCGTACAGACATTCTTGATATGACACTGTGATGACAAGTGTTTGTAGAAGAAGAAAAATGATACATTACAAATATATAGTACTTATTGCCAGTGCACACTACTTCTGCAGTTATCATTGAGAGTACTAACGTTCTTACCCTGTGAGAGACAACCCCTGTGTGCCAGATCCCCAACAGAAACATTAGAGGCATTAGAGATGTTAGTCTGGGACACTGGACACTGATCTGGAACACAGAAACCATTCCTTCCCGGTTACAAACACAGCTGACATTGTTGGAAATATGAGAGCAAATGCAAATGTAATAATAGCACGTTCAGAAAGTCATATTCCTACAAATATTACTTTTAATTTTCAGTTGCCCTAAAACTACACACGAAAATGTAGTTTATTTAGATGTGCCATGTCACAAGTGCAGAGTTTACTACCAGCGAGATTACAATACAACGCACACTGTTGTACGCACACAATCAAAAAGATGATTAATAACTTGTTTTTAAACCTGTTGTGTCATGACAAACAAGAACTTACAATAGTTCTGTTGTGTGGAAGATGTAGAAGTGGGGTGTCGCCCCTGTTGTGGGCCTCTATCTATTTCGTCTAAAACTTCAGTCAGAAGTAGACCAACATCACGATCAGTTTGGTCTTGGTCTTGCAATGGTTCCATCCTCCCGCCTGGAGAGCCTTCCGTGATTAACTTAGTTCCTTCCTGGGAGATAAAAAACAACGTTTTTGTAAAAAAAGAGCAAAATGACTGACGAATTAACATGTTTACTAATATTCTGTAATACCACAGATACCGGTCTCACTGGCGTAACTTAAGTCGGAGAAGAGCCCTATTTAAACAGTTTCCGCTTGTGGTGTAAAATACCCAAAATACCACTTTGTGATAACTTTGTTTCATGGGCAGATCATTAACTGTGGCCTTTGTTACCACCGTACAAAACGATTCCAAGGTGTGAAGGTATTATTTGGTGTCCCCCGCCTTGATATTTCCGGAATGTTGCATAAAGTGGCATACAACCATACTCACTCACTCACTCACTCACTCACTCACTCACTCACTCACAATTTACCTGCAACATATTCGCTCCAGTTCACGTTATCTCACAAGAACATTCTCTTGAAGAATACGTCATTGTGTTTTTTTAAAAGGTTTGTTTTTAATTGTTTTATTTACCAGAAAACGGCAATGCCACAGTATGTTACATTTACAAGGTATGAGTGTGGTAGTTTCTGACAGACAATGTATGATCTATCCATAAAACATTATTTTCATACTAAAGTACTTAAGGATTGACAGCATATTTGTTTCAAGTCTTTGAGGAATGAATAGAAATACTCGTGTGCTAACTGTATGAATCCATAGCAGATTCTTACAAATATCTTCACATTGATTATTTGATTCATACTTCAGTTAACAGAAAAACAGACACAGAGTCAATCCTATTTATTAAATTTTACAAAAACATCTAAAGAAATCATGTAAATCCAAACACAGAGACACATAGCAGGATGTCACTCGAGATTCATATCAACCTTTTAAATCACTATTCAAAAAGTAATGATGCTACAAAAAACAAACGTTGTTTAATCCCTTCACAAAGACAAGTAATTATCATCAGGTTGATAAACGTTCTTACTTCACGAGAAATGACAGTAGAGAGGGCTATACAGGAGACGTCTACACACATGACAGAGACCTACGCCTTATCTGCACATGCGCAGGAGCTACTTTCATTAGAACCATCCGTTATGACAAATTAACATGATGTGTGTCTCATACGATAGACAAGTAGGTCAGATATAAACATCGGACTTCGATCAAACCATGTGGGGTGTCGTTGATACAAGTGGTCACATATCAGCACAGTGAGGCCTCTTACAGACCGATAAACGTGTGGCTGTCCGAGACAGTTGATAAACAGCTTCATATCGCTAGTGTCAGGGGAAGGTGGTGCAATATCCACCGAGTTAGGAGAACAAGTTAACTTAAGAACTGTATAATTAGAATATATGATGTCTCTCTTTTCATCTATCTGCTTTTGTTTTGATAATCAGTGTAGGTAATCAAAATCAGTGTTCCAGGAAAGAAAGTACAACTCCCAACTACTGACTGATGACGAGTCGAGGAACAATTATTGACTTTAAATCTTGGCATATCTATGATCAAATTCCGGTGTAATGTGGAATATCACAGCGGGTAAGGCGAACACGTTCAGTCCTAGGTCAGTCAGCTAAATACCGTGCTCGTTGTCCCAGTTATTACACGTGGTCTGTCAGCTACATAGCCTGCTCGTTGTCCCAGTTATTACACGTGGTCTGTCAGCTACATACCCAGCTCGTTGTCCCAGTTATTACACGTGGTCTGTCAGCTACATACCCAGCTCGTTGTCCCAGTTATTACCCGTGGTCTGTCAGCTACATACCCTGCTCGTTGTCCCAGTTATTACCCGTGGTCTGTCAGCTACATACCCTGCTCGTTGTCCCAGTTATTACCCGTGGTCTGTCAGCTACATACCCTGCTCGTTGTCCCAGTTATTACCCGTGGTCTGTCAGCTACATAGCCTGCTCGTTGTCCCAGTTATTACCCGTGGTCTGTCAGCTACATAGCCTGCTCGTTGTCCCAGTTATTACCCGTGGTCTGTCAGCTACATACCCTGCTCGTTGTCCCAGTTATTACCCGTGGTCTGTCAGCTACATACCCTGCTCGCTGACCCAGTTATTACCCGTGGTCTGTCAGCTACATACCCTGCTCGCTGTCCCAGTTATTACCCGTGGTCTGTCAGCTACATACCCTGCTCGCTGACCCAGTTATTACCCGTGGTCTGTCAGCTACATACCCTGCTCGTTGTCCCAGTTATTACCCGTGGTCTGTCAGCTACATACCCTGCTCGTTGTCTCAGTTATTACCCGTGGTCTGTCAGCTACATAGCCTGCTCGCTGACCCAGTTATTACCCGTGGTCTGTCAGCTACATACCCTGCTGACCCAGTTATTACCCGTAGTCTGTCAGCTACATACCCTGCTCGTTGTCTCAGTCATTACACGTGGTCTGTCAGCTACATACCCAGCTCGTTGTCCCAGTTATTACCCGTGGTCTGTCAGCTACATACCCTGCTCGTTGTCCCAGTTATTACACGTGGTCTGTCAGCTACATACCCTGCTCGTTGTCCCAGTTATTACACGTGGTCTGTCAGCTACATACCCTGCTCGTTGTCCCAGTCATTACACGTGGTCTGTCAGCTACATACCCTGCTCGTTGTCCCAGTTATTACACGTGGTCTGTCAGCTACATACCCTGTTCGTTGTCCCAGTAATTACCCGTGGTCTGTCAGCTACATACCCTGCTCGTTGTCCCAGTTATTACACGTGGTCTGTCAGCTACATACCCAGCTCGTTGTCCCAGTTATTACACGTGGTCTGTCAGCTACATACCCTGCTCGTTGTCCCAGTTATTACACGTGGTCTGTCAGCTACATACCCTGCTCGTTGTCCCAGTTATTACACGTGGTCTGTCAGCTACATACCCTGCTCGTTGTCCAAGTTATTACACGTGGTCTGTCAGCTACATACCCTGCTCGTTGTCCCAGTTATTACACGTGGTCTGTCAGCTACATAGCCAGCTTGTTGTCCCAGTTACTACCCTGCTCGTTGTCCCAGTTAGTACACGTGGTCTGTCAGCTACATAGCCAGCTCGTTGTCCCAGTTATCACACGTGGTCTGTCAGCTACATAGCCAGCTTGTTGCCCCAGTTATTACCCTGCTCGTTGTCCCAGTTATTACCCGTGGACTGTCATCTACAGAGCCTGCTCGTTGTCCCAGTTATTACCCGTGGTCTGTCAGTAGGTAGTTGTTAAACAACAAACAAACCTACTGCTGGAATAGTGCCGGGGATGTCGCTAAACAAAAAAACAAACAAGCATACAAGCATAAAGCTGGAATAGCACCTAAGTGTGGCCTTCAACAACAACACGCCACTCACCTAGTGATGTTACTCCAGCATAAATTGTCCTCACCTTCTGTGTTATACAAACTTGAACCTTTGACTGTCTACAGGAGTGGGGCGTATACTGAACTCCGGCCCTGTACACGCGTCATACACATGCGCACTACTTGGTTTCCGTTTGGAGCATCACAAGATCTGTATGAGATATGGACATGTGTGTGATAACATGAAGTATATGTAGGTTACAACGGGTATTTCGCTTGCTGTGTTTGACTAGTGTGGCGATAGCGTTAAACATGTATTCACTCACAGACGTCGTCAACTCTGTATATGCGGAAAACATAAACGAATTGTATTTCACATAATTAATTGGAACAACTGTTTGTCGTGTTGAAGATCTTTCGTGCATTTATTTCAAAGTTCTCTTATTAAACTTGTTTGTGTTTCTGACAGTGACTTAATAAACTTCATATCGGCAATATTTCAGCCATAAAGCCATAGGAACAATTTATGCAATCATACAAAACATGCACAATATAACACAGAGGTAAATAAAACAAATTCTTAATATAAATAATATTCTGTGTTAAATGTGTGTCAAGGCACGTTTGGGCGTTCATAAATATTTACCACGGATGTTAAACATTATTGCAGACATTTTGACCTTTGATCGATTTCATGTCTGACGCATCTCCTTCAGCTTTACTTGATTGTTTTCTCCGCGTCCAGTGGCTTCCTACGTAAGTTTTATGGTTTGTTTTAAATCATTTAATAATATGACAGTGTATTTCACTATGCTTATGCGGAAAACTCCACTTGATGAAAAGAAAACATGAAACAATCAACGACATCTTTGTTTTTTTAGTGCTGCTTAATTCAGCCAGGAGACAATCGAGGGACAGCCATTCCCAACATCCTGAGACATGTACTTTTAGCTTAATTGACATAATCAGTATGTGTGATTTATCGGTAACTGGACCGTAGTATGTTGTCAGTGACGAATTAGCTTGGCATCATCTAAAATACTTAAACTAAGGGCTCAGTCACACATTCAGGATTTTTACTGCCGTCTTTGATAGGACCATTCCTAAGGGTTCAGTCACACATTCAGGATTTTTAATGCCGTCTTTGATAGGACCTAGGGTTCAGTCACACATTCAGGATTTATACTGCTGACCTTGATAGGACCATTCCTAAGGGCTCAGTCACATATTCAGGATTTTTACTGCTGTCCTTGATAGGACCATTCCTAAGGGTTCAGTCACACATTCAGGATTTTTACTGCTGTCCTTGATAGGACAATTCCTAAGGGTTCAGTCACACATTCAGGATTTTTACTGCCGTCTTTGATAGGACCATTCCTAAGGGCTCAGTCACACATTCAGGATTTATACTGCTGTCCTTGATAGGACAATTCCTAAGGGTTCAGTCACACATTCAGGATTTTTACTGCCGTCATTGATAGGACCATTCCTAAGGGTTAAGTCACACATTCATGATTTTTACTGCTGTCCTTGATAGGACCATTCCTAAGGGTTCAGTCACACATTCAGGATTTTTACTGCTGTCCTTGATATGACCATTCCTAAGGGTTCAGTCACATATTCAGGATTTTTACTGCTGTCCTTGATAGGACCATTCCTGAGGGCTCATTCACACATTCAGGATTTTTACTGCTGTCCTTGATAGGACCATTCCTAAGGGTTCAGTCACATATTCAGGATTTTTACTGCTGTCCTTGATAGGACCATTCCTGAGGGCTCATTCAAACATTCAGGATTTATACTGCTGTCCTTAATAGGACCATTCCTAAGGGTTCAGTCACATATTCAGGATTTTTACTGCTGTCCTTGATAGGACCATTCCTGAGGGCTCATTCACACATTCAGGATTTTTACTGCTGTCCCTGATAGGACCATTCCTGAGGGCTCAGTCACACATTCAGGATTTTTACTGCTGTCCTTGATAGGACCATTCCTAAGGGTTCAGTCACACATTCAGGATTTTTACTGCCGTCCTTGATAGGACCGTTCCCGATTTAAATCTGTCAAATGTCTGGTCAAGATCCTATGATTCGTGGCGGGAAATTCACAAATTTGTAAGAACATTTATTTAATCACGACAACAATCACATATTTTTCAGGAAGCGTCCCGATTCAGTCGTTTGAAGCCGAATTCGTCCTGATTCTCCAGTTCTCAATCCGAAACTGATCCCATTTGTATCTTCCGCATGGCAAAAAACGACCGAATCTGTCCCGACAGCTTCACGATTCTCCCGCATGCGATCCAACAGAGATCAGAGAGTGACCGGATAGTGAACCGACAAAGACGGTTCGCATTCGGCAAGATCTGAACGCAATCTGGACTCAATCAACAAATTACGGCAATGAACAATTTCTCAAAATGATGCCCCTTCATCACGACAGCGTCCCGATCCACAGGACACCGTCCAGACAACACAGGACATTGTTACGATTTTGATCCGATACAGCAGAATCTGTCACGACATAGTCACGATTGTAATCCGACTAGACAAAATCGGTTGAGTTTCCCGAATGTTACGGGACGTACCATACTGTCGGGAGTGCTTGGCCGACCTCTCTGGACCTTTCCCGATTCATAGGACTCTGTTACGACCGTATACGACTGCGTTCAGCCAATGATAGGACACCAAGATCATTGAGGCTTGTAATCACACTTTTTCACTTTTCGTGTCGCAGCGCTGTCTGATCTCAAACGGGAGCCATAAACGGCACTCTGTAAACGCAGCCTAAAGCAATGACAGCAATGCCACTGTTCTAATTGCCATAGCTTAACAAAGCCCCACATGTGCGTCAGTCGTAACTCTAAGATTGCTTCATGAAACTGGGACCAGGTCATTTCAACAGCTAACTTTAGTACTTTACAGCCTTTGTTATAAGATACAAATGCATTAAATAAACATAGTAAATTCTTACACAATGAAGGTTCCAAATGGCGGCTACCTTCTCGATATCTTCGATGCTGTGTTTGCTGTTTCAGTGAAGAGATACGGTTTGGGAATCGATACAGTTGGTAACATTTAGATGTCGTATTTCCCTCCTACAACGGTCCTTTCCTCCGTCCCTCAGCCACTTCACCCCCTACCCCCTGTAGCTACCCCCTGTCGCCAGATAGAATCCAGTCTTGTAGCTGCCTCGCCCAAGATTAACTTCAGAGAGTGCCGATTCTTCCCCCTAAGTCTGAATATATTTGTTATTTCTTTATCTTCAGTATTTTCTTAAAAAGATGATTTTGGCTTGTAATGTCTGATATCGAGCCATGTGGCCATCCTATCCCATCGCGTTTTCTCTCTGGTACTGTGCACCCCCTGCCCCCTCCCCCTCCCACACCCCCCCCACCACCACACACACACCCCCCCCCACCACCACACACACATACCACTTCCCCAAATACTTCCCAGCAGGATTTCGAGTTGTCAAATTGTGACACCTTATACATCGTTATGATCTGACATTCCCACACTTCGTTCATTAACAGTTGACTACTTTCACAATTCTCCCCATGAATTTAAAATTGGAGATTCGTCTTTTAGTCCGGGGCATTTCTCAGGCAGAGATACGTGTATAGCTGTAGAATGGCGCTTTGCGAAACGAACAGTCTCGTTTGACGAGTTAAAAGAGAAATGTACAGTTCATAACGAAACATTTTCAAGAGAATAACAAACGGCAAGAAGCGATATTAACTCTATAAATGACCATCTGTAATTATTTGGCCTTTCCAATGTGGAACTACCGCAAAAAGGAATTCAACAGTTTGTGAACGGCTCGACCCTGATAAAGAGTAGACAATTTGCAGGGAGGTAACTCTTGAAAACAATAGTTCCGTGAAAGTCTTATGATCACTGCAGTGAAATATCACTTTACGCAACTTCTTTCACACTGAAGTATATAATAAATGCTAACTGCCAACGCCCGTGAGGTTTAGCATCGAACTATCCATATGGCTTAATCAAAGTATAGTCATGTTCTCAGCATGTTTTGTCCTGTTGCAAATCACTCCAGATTCTAAGGATATGCTGCAGTATGGTGTTAGCCAGTATTATGATCTAGATGTAGCCAGTATAATATCTACATATGACCAGTATCAAGTCTTTATATCATATATGACCAGTATCTTGCATGCAGGTAGCAAGTATTTTGTGTACATATGGCCAGTATCAAGTCTACATATACCCAGTATCAAGTCTACATATGACCAGTATCAAGTCTACATGTGACCAGTATCAAGTCTACATATACCCAGTATCAAGTCTACATGTGACCAGTATCAAGTCTACATATACCCAGTATCAAGTCTACATGTGACCAGTATCAAGTTTACATGTGACCAGTATCAAGTCTACATATGACCAGTATCAAGTCTACATGTGACCAGTATCAAGTCTACATATACCCAGTATCAAGTCTACATATATCCAGTATCAAGTTTACATGTGACCAGTATCAAGTCTACATATACCCAGTATCAAGTCTACATGTGACCAGTATCAAGTCTACATGTGACCAGTATCAAGTCTACATATACCCAGTATCAAGTCTACATATACCCAGTATCAAGTCTACATGTGACCAGTATCAAGTCTACATATGACCAGTATCAAGTCTACATGTGACCAGTATCAAGTCTACATATACCCAGTATCAAGTCTACATATGACCAGTATCAAGTCTACATGTGACCTGTATCAAGTCTACATATACCCAGTATCAAGTCTACATGTGACCAGTATCAAGTCTACATATGACTAGTATCAAGTCTACATATATCCAGTATCAAGTCTACATGCGACCAGTATCAAGTCTACATATACCCAGTATCAAGTCTACATGTGACCAGTATCAAGTCTACATATACCCAGTATCAAGTCTACATATGACCAGTATCAAGTCTACATATACCCAGTATCAAGTCTACATGTGACCTGTATCAAGTCTACATATACCCAGTATCAAGTCTACATGTGACCAGTATCAAGTCTACATATACCCAGTATCAAGTCTACATGTGACCAGTTTCAAGTCTACATGTGACCAGTATCAAGTCTACATATACCCAGTATCAAGTCTGCATGTGACCAGTATCAAGTCTACATGTGACCAGTATCAAGTCTACATATACCCAGTATCAAGTCTACATATGACCAGTATCAAGTCTACATGTGACCAGTATCAAGTCTACATGTGACCAGTATCAAGTCTACATGTGACCAGTATCAAGTCTACAT